CTTGTATTCTGTATAGCTGTGCCTCTACTAAACTTTCCGTTTTATCCATCTCACACATTCATTATTTTTTTTTAATGCTAGGTAGAAGCAGAGAGAACGATGTGATAATGATGACTTGTCTTTTTTCCAGGAGTTTAGCATGGTTTGCTAATGTCTATGGCAATGCTAGCATGAGCGGCTAACTTCCCACAAACAACTGAAGCTCTGTGTGTTAAATTGGTATTTGAAATGTTGCCAATCATCAACAATGGAGTTTTCAGAACTCTCTTTTCTTCATGGCTCTGCTGAAGAGGGTTCTACAAACCTTTAAAGAGGGTTCCACAGGCTTCTTAAAGCTGCTGGATCTACAGGCAGATCACTTATGCTTAGTTTTTCTTGACATGATGGAACGTTTTGGTGTAAAATGTTTTGTTTTTGTAATTAAATGTAGTCCTGAAAAGCAGAACCCTAGAGGTTAAAAAGAATCTACGTTCTTTCCACTGCGAGTCATTTGAAATGTTCCTGTCCGCTCAGCTCGTCATCCTCGGTTAATACTCTTCTGTGTTCAGGTTCCTCTCCAGGTTAGAAGGGATTGATCCGGACTCCTGTTCCCAGCGGGGAGAACGGGTTCACCTTGGCCCACATTAACGCATCATTTAGGGAAATGGCTGATTTATTGTCCTCCAGTAAAAACACTGGACCCTGAAAGAACCAGAACGTCAGCGTCAGAGTAAACACTCAGAGGAACACAGACGCCTAGAGAGGCTCACCTGGATCCTGTGTCCAGTGAAACAGGACAGGTGAAGGTCTGAGTGGCTCGGCAGGTTTGAGCCAGTCACGTAATCGGCTCCGTTCAGAACCAAGGTAGCTGGGGAGAGAAGGAAACGCCCGTCAGTGGATCGTCATTCCACATCATCAGCAACGTGAAAACAGCTGAACTCATCTAGAGACTTCATGGTCCAAAACCAGGAATCCCTTCGCTTACCTCAGATGAATCCAGACAGGTCTGCTTCTGCTTTCCTACATAATGGATCTTTTCAACCTGTGAATCTGAACAAACCAGCTGGAATAATTCTGGACGGTTACCTGGTTCTGTTGGCAGGATTCTCCTCTCCAGGCAGCTGAACTCCTCTGTCTGGCTCTCTGATGGTTGACTGTAAACAGACATGCATGTAGATATATTCAGTTTGTCACTGATAGGGGGCAGTGGTGTCAAAAGTACACACATTTTTTATTTAAGTAGAAGTATAGATACTGCAGTTAAAACACTCTGGTAAAAGTTGAAGTATCAACTTGACCTCTTTACTCAAGCAAAAGTGAAAAATTATGTGCTCCAAAAACTACTTAAAGTATAAAAGTATAAAGTAACCTTAAAAAAAAAAACAGCCAGATGCCACTATATGAATTAAAAGCTCAATTTTTCGACTATATCGAAAAATTCTTAGAGATAGGGCCAAGGATGAGGGAGGTCTTGTTGGTCTCCGTCTCCCGATACGCTCTCGCCTGTGTCCGACCTTTCAGACATAACATCTTTTTCTGAATCCATCATTGTAGCATGGCGTAGACAATTCACGTTAGCAGTTTGAAGAACACCTGCTTGCTTCTGATGATTTCCTTTAGCTAACCAATGAGTGTTTGCGT